GGGCTGTAATTTCTGGGAATCTGTTTCAAATGTATCCAAGGTTTAACACCCAAAAATGAAGGTACTTGAAGTTGCTTAGGGACAGGGTTGTCACTGGGGGGACTGGGGGGTAGACACATGACAGCTTTGAAAAGAACAGAACATAATGCTTCTCTGAGTAACTGTAGACATGCCGCTTGCAAAGGACCATATGTTGCATCTTTTACTCATACTGGTGAATTGCTGGTCACACATGATTCACTTGAGATGGATTAACTGAGAGTTTTGTGGCAAACAAATAGTGTAGTGTAATGCTGCCAGAAAAAAATAAATCACACCAGTGCATAAAAGTAACTAATAAAACAGCAGAGCAGAGACCAATTAAAGTATAAAGTGATTTTTGATGTTTTGGGTAGAAAAACGTTTTGGAAGGACAAATGGACAAGATAAGCCTGGCAAACACTGAGAATGGAAAGTGCCATCTGGAAACAAAAAATAGACATAAATTTTACAGCAACTGTATAAAGGGGATGGCAAATATCTTCTAAGGCGTGAATCTGGTGATGAAGGAGAAGAAAAGATGCACCCATGTGCCCTATCTCTTGCAGGTTGCTTTTGTACATGTTTGCATTAGATGTTTTAATGTTCCTGCTAGCTTTGCTTTTTCCTGTTCCCTTTGCATGAGGTGTTTTCTCATTGCTTTATGTGCATTGAGAGCACAATCCAGAAGACAATATCCAGTTCAGTTTTCAACTTGAAATAATACACACTCTCTTGTTTCTGTATCTTCTGTATTGTTTAATTTCTTCCTTTCAGTTCTAGGTGAATGATTTTGAAATGATGCTTCATGGATGTTAGTTATCCAAATGCCATTGAATGTCTGTGAGCTGGGCACCACATTACCTTTCCTCCTTAGGAGACTGCAGTATGGTGGTATGGGGCTGAATTTCACTGGAGTTGATACTTTGCTGAGCAGTCTTTGCCAAGCAGTGAAAAATGAGGAGTCCTGTGTAACCTAAATGAACTGATGATTCATAAAAAAGTTACAAAGGGTGACATGAAACAGAACTAGTGTAAACTTAAAGGTGGTTATTTTTAAATAAGGGATGGGAAAGATGACAGGGAATAACAGAAAATGAAGAGAGCAGATATGGACCCAAAGAAGGCAAGAGAAGAGAGTAAGAGTAGTGGGGAAGAGAGAAAATGCCAGAGGAATAAAGATCATGATAAGGTATCCCAGCATAACAAGGAAAAAGCAATTTTATTTGTCTTTTGTCTTCTTCCACTCCACTTTTCATCCATTCAGCTTTTTTTTTTTCCTATTTTCCTTCCCTTTTTCTTTTTTGCATTCAGTTCATGTTCATTATCTACAACGTCCATATAACAAATCCCTTGCTTCAAAACCCAGCTCCAGAATATGGAAAGGCATCTCTGCAATACCCACATATGTCTTTTTATGATTTAATAAAAGTTTTAAGATTGGTTTAAATTTAGTGAGAGAGATGACTAGGGACAATAGATGCCAAAGATCGTCAGATCACTTCCCTGGGGACTGAATTCATGACCTTTAACTTCAAAATACAGAAAGCTACCTCTTTTGGGGAGCTAAAAAACCAGTTTCATAACTTGAACTGTTGGGAAGAACTCATCTGCAGAAGGGGTAATCTCTTCTCAAGAGCCAGATAGTTTTTGATTCAAGTGTGTGCAGACCTGTACATCAGAGCTTCAAAAAAATTACCTGCTCAGGGTAATTCAGACTTTTCTACATGTATTTGGTCATCTTTCTCCACAATGTAAAACGCTGTGTTACTTCTTGAGTGCCTTTGGAATTTTTTATCATCTTTCCGAACAAAAGATGTGATTGTTATGAGTGAGAGGGAAGGAAAAATAGAAGAAAATCTACTCAGACTAGATAATAATGAAGATTATATCTCCCCAAACTAACTGGATTTCAGCTAAGAATCTGAATAGAATGCAATCAAAATGTTAAAAAGTTAAGCTTTTCTATTGATTTCTAACAAGGTGTAAGAAACCTGTTCTTGTAAAATAGGATGTAAATACTGTTGGTTCTGGTGTTCTGCTACTGCTTTCTTCAAGGACCCTCTCACTACTAAAAATGTTTTAGCCCACATCAAAATGCACCAATAAAAATGTAATTCTTAACCATGTCTTTCTTTCCATCATTTCCTTTCCCTGAACCGTAATGATATGTAAGAAATACTAATTGAATTACTTTCCTTACGGAACACTTTAATGCAAGATAAGTGGTGGCTGTATTTACTAGGTTATGAGGTTAATATTTCCTCAGCACTGGTTTAAATGGTGTCTTACTACAGTAGTGGAGTTGGGGGCAATCCATATTGGAGCCTGTGATACATACAAATTTTAAGAAATTATTTTTTCCATTATCTAGAGTGAAACAGAAGTGAAATAATTTGCATAGCATGACACAGCAGATCAGTATGAGGGCAAGGATAAAATCAGACACCTAGTTTAATGACCTGCACAGTAGATTATACTGCCTCAAGCTTGAACACCTGAAGTAGAACTTTCAGAAACATCACTGTGATTTAAGAGAACAAATTTCATAGACCCTGTGCTCCCCTATAATTTAAATGTTCAAAAAAAGAACCATTTAGAGTTTTTATCACCTAATTTTCTCCCCGACTACAACGTGAGGCTGACAGCATTTCTATTCTCCTATTGTTCCTTTTCCTGTTTTTGTTCCAATTAAATTTTAAAAGTGGACTGCTTATGTATTTGTATAATACCTTGCACAAAGGGGTCTCATCTGCATTGTAATACTATACAATAAATCAAAATGACAAAACCAACCAATTTCTAAATGGCATATGCTTGGATACTTCCAACTTTGCATAAACTCGTAAAAGAAGACTTCTAAAGAGACCAGTCCAGAATATTACTGCCAGAGACATGAAAGCAAGTGTATTTTTCATGTATTAAAGCATCTGGAGGTTCTGCTATGAAATCAGAGTTTTTACACTAGCTTCAGTAAAATCAAGGCTCAAATGAGGAGACAGGGAATTAGTGTTCTCTGCTGTTGAGGAGTGCAGCTTTGGTAGTAGTAGAATGTAGTTATAAATGAAATTATGTTTTAAACATGATCAGAACACTTGGGAGCAAAGGGCTAATGAACTATGAATAGTTACTGTAATAAAAGGTTAATCAATTATGTGCTGTTATAAGCAACCCATTAGGCCTGTGAGACACATTAGCCATCTTTTTTCAAATCTTTATGTCACTTATGGATGTGCTGACAGACATTAGTAACAAGTACTGTTCATATTTGTTTATAAAAGCAGTTGGTTGGTTGTTAATATTTTATAAACTTCCATGGAAAATATGATTTACTAATGGTTGTTACTTGTCCCTCATCTGGATTGGTTTCAGATAAGTTTTGCTTTGAATTGAGAAGTCCAGGGCTGAGTCCTGGATTCTGCCTAAATTGCCAGGGCTGAAGAATTTGTATTTTGTGACTGCAGGCAGAGTTTACAAAGATTAAAGCAAGTCTAGATAACTCTATTATTAAAGACTTCAGCAATATGCAGTTACTGCTGTTGGTTGCTACCAGATGTGAAGCTGTAACACCGAAGTACAAAGATAGGAAATAAGGAAATAAATGATGCTGTAGACAAACGTTCATTGCAGACCAAGCAGGATAATTGACTTATGTGATGGAGCTGTATTAGTATATTCTGTCAATATTTTGTCTTTTATAAAGCTTGAAATTGTTCATTGACTGATTTGTCTAGGAAACTTGCCTGTATTGCTAAAAATATTTTTTTCTTAAAATGTAAATGTATACTCTTTTTCCCATTCAAATTCTTGTGTTATATTTTCTAATTTCCAAATGAGTTCTGTTGGCCTAGCCTCTTTTAGTGTTATCACTGGGGAAGTACTTGTAAATGGGTCAAAATTTCAGTTAGTTTTCAGGGAGGCTTAGAAGACTGAGGAGGCAGTTTGTTTTTTGAGCTTCATTGGCAGAGTTTACTGCAGCTTCTGTTGGTGCTGGTTTTGTATTTGTTTGAGTATCCGTAGTTTTTACTGTTTCTATGGAGTACCAACTGACGGAAAGGAAGAAGTCATTCTGCCTTTTGGCAGGACAGTTGCCTGCCTTCTCTCTTGAATACTGGGTCTTGCTTATAATTAATTTAAAAATAACAACCCCAAACCCTAAGACAAATCATCTACTTTGACTTCTGCTAAGATGTTGAAATGTGTATTCAAGATACTGCAGAGTTTGAATGCTCAGGCATGTATGCTTCAGAGTAGCAGGTCCTCATGTCTGCTGTGCTTTCTGCACACAGACAGGATAACCCTAGCGTAATGATCAGTCGTGGAGGGTGATTACGTACTACAGTATGATCCACAGCATGTTATTTGCTTTCACTGGATAGCAAGTACTTAAAATAATGTTAGTACGTTAATTAACAGGTGCCTCATTGTTCCTAATACTGGTCATGCTAATGTTACATTTCTGTCTTGAGACTATCAAGAGAAAACAATCTTATTTAGTACGAAGGTCCGTATCTAACAGGAATGGAAGAGATTCATCTGTTGTGTGCCTTCTCTCAAATCAGCGTGATTTCATATTGAGAGGAATTTGCCTTTTTAGTGTGTTTCCAAAAGTGTATGTAAAATGTGAGGTGAAGAGAGGGAAGCAGCATGGATGTGCTGAACTAAATTGTGAGTTACTGACACTGTCCCCGATACTGAAGCTAATTCTGGACGGCGTGCACTCCGATACAGTGTATTCCTGTGGGACTGGATGGATACTGGGGCTTGCTGGTGTGGAGGCAAGCAACAATTAGCTATTGTTGACATAACCGCCCCGGGGAGGGAGCACACAAACGGGCTGTAAAAGACAAACCTCTTGTAATAGTGGGTGGTCGCTGGGTATCCGGGCCTGCGGAACCGATAGCTCCGGTGAGCCAAAGGCATGTGTCCGGTTTCACCCCCTCCAGGCAAATGGATGACTTTCTGCGTGAGCATGTATCTTAATGATACCGGCCGCTCTCTCCGGCCAAGCAGCAGAGCGTTCACCTAGCAGCAAACGCGAACTGGCGGCTGCCGCTTCTTCCTATCCAGACTGGAAATTCTTTGCAGCCAGCTACAGAAATAGCAGCGAGGCCGCCGTCCCCGCCCTCCCGCCCCGGCTTGCAGCAGGCGGAGGGGCCCCAACGCCCGTGTGTGTGCGGAGAGGAGCAGGTGGGCCCCGCGGTAACCCCGCCCCGCGCGGGTCCCCGTCGGCCATACGGTGATGGCAGCAACCTCCGTGCCAGAGCAGGCTCTTTATTGGAGGAGGGGGCTGTCAATCCGCGGCCGAGCAAGCCCCACTCTCCGGCAAGCTGCTCCCAAGGTCTGATTCTGGAGCCGTGGCCGGCTGCAATGGGAAGCGGCGTCGGAGGGAACAAAGTTTGCAACACTTGGGCACTTGGCTGCTCGCGTCCTTGATGCCCGTGGCAGGAGCCGGTGCCTAAAAGCGGCGGGGGGGGCCGCGGGCGGGG